CCCCAAACCCTAAACACCAAACCCCTAAACCCCTAAAGCCCTAAACCCCTAGACCCCTAAACCCTAAACCCTTTCCTTGGGTTTCTGTGTCTCGCCTCGCAGGGGTGCTGCCTTTCGAGGATTCCGAGAGGAAGTCCTCCAGCCGCTGCTGCTCCTGCTTCGGTTTAGGGCTTTTAAGGTTTGTTTAGGGGGTTAAGGGTTTAGGGGTTTGGGGGGCTTCGGTTTAGGGCTTAGGGGTTTAGGGTTTACGGGTTTAGGGGCTTCGGTTTAAGGCTTTTAGGGCTTAGGGCTTAGGGGTTTAGGGGTTTAGGGCTTTTAGGGCTTAGGGAGTTTAGGCTTTAGGGTCTAGAGTTTAGGGGCTTAGTTTCGGGGTTTAGGGGGGTTCTTGTTAAGGGGTTTACTTTGAGTTACCATAATAAGGAAACCTTATCATAAACCATAGATGCCTATTATGCTAGCTTCAATTGAATCCCTTAACAAGCACCTAGTTTTCGGTAAAGAGCTTAAAGCTTTGGGGCCTCGGTTGCTGGCATGGGAGTTTATGGACCTGCCAGGCCTAGAAGACTGCGGTTTGGGGCTGCAGCCTACAGGGTCTGCCCACGTTTACGGAGGGTTTAGGGGTTTAGGGCTTAGTTTTTGTTTTTTGTTGGGGGGTGGTTTAGGGTTTAGGGATTCAGAGTGTCGAACTTTCAAAGCCCCGGAAAATTTCGGGTTGAAGGCTTACAGACCCCCCCCCACTTGTAGCTATCCCAATTCCGACTTCTCCCACAACGCTGAAAAGAAACACCTTAAGGAAACTATCTTGTACCTACTACAACAAGTATTCGAGACCATATATATATATATATTTATTTATTTATTTATTGGTTGTCTTCCAGAAACCGGGCTCGCAAACAGGAACTGCTGTCTCAGTGTCGGCTCCGGCCAACCTGAGGTCAGGCTGATTCCATATTAAAAAGCAACAACGCAAGGTGCTCCAGCGAATCATACAAAAGTGGTTGAAGAATGGTTTGATCACATGAACGCTAGCGTGCCAGCACTCTTGGCTCCTGTGGCACCACATACCGCGTGAAGGACACTCCTTCCAAGCTCCTGGCGAGTTTGTTACAAGTAGGGTTTAGCGTGAGGGTACATCCTAATTAGATTGAACAGTGCGCCGTTTGCCAGGGCAGGAATAGCCGTGCGAGCATGTGTTGTGGTGGACTCAAGGACATAGCAACCTGCTGCATACAAGACCCTCATCCTAAACCCTATAAGCCTAAATTTCTGAATCTTATCTCTTTCAGGACTCATAGAAGGAAATCATAAAGAGCCCTAGAAAGGTAGTTTGGTTTATAATCAGGGTCCAGGTAAAGCCTATGACCCAGGCTTTTTCTAAAGGGTGCAACGGCCTTTCACACAGCGCGTGTCTTGCCCGCCTCATGGAGGCATACACCATAGCAGCCCTGCATAGGGTTTAGGGTTTGGGGCTTTAAAGGGACTCAATCCCACTGCGCATGACCTTGGTCTAGGGTTTCCGACAGCTCAGACCGGTACCCATGAACTCTACAACTTGAAACAAACTGCCCCCAGAAGCCTAAAGCCATTTACATGGGGTTAAGGGGTTTGGAGTTCAGAGTTTAGGGGAAAGCTTCGAGCTCAACCCTGGACCTCAAGAGATTAGATTCAGCTTCAGCATTAGAGCTTCGAGCCCCCAAACCCCAAATTATCAACGCCAGAATCAATCCTGAAACCGAAACCCATAGAATCCAAAACCCAAACCCGTAAACCACCACAAATCCCTTCAGATCTCTGACATAGAATACCAAAGGGTAGAATGCTGATTACAATTACAATCCAAGAAGGTGTCCCTAAACCTCAGAAGACAGTCTAGAACCCTGCTAAGCCCTACCATCACAGAACCCCATTAGTAACCCTACCAAACCCACAGAACACTCACCTCAGAAGACGAGACCACGATGATGAGGACGACGACGCCGACTACTACTACTACTACTACTACTACTGCTACTACTACTACTACTACTACTACATGTCCTCTTCCCCGAAGTGCCGAAGTCGCACATCAACAGATCTGAGAGACCTGCTCTCTGTTAGCATCGTTTTCAGGATCCCATAGGGTTCCATAATGGTTTCATGAAGGCTCCATGAAGCGACAGTTTCCTCCAAAACCAAGGGGGTTTTAAAGCCCAGGCTTTAGCTTTCTGTGAGGACCAGGGTTGATGATCTCGCATGTTGTGGGGGCTTGGGTTTAGGATTTAAGGTCCGGATGCAACCATGCAGGAGTGCAGAACCACAAGAAAAGGATGAAGATGACGATTGTTACCGTCATGCCGTTGGTTTGTGATCATCAGTCTTCGTTTGAAATGCTGCAGATCATAAAGCTGAAGATGCCAATCAAGAGCAATGCCGCCAAGGAAAAAACGATGGCAGCGCGATGCCAGGGGCGAATGGGCCGCCCCATCCCAAAAAATTTATTGCATATACCAGGTACCCTCAATCATAGGCCCTAAACCCGACTACAGATGCTTGGCCGAAGACAAACCCAACTTGAATGAAAAACAACTTCGATGCTAAACTCTGAGCCCTAAACCCTTAAACCCCAAGACCTGCAAACCCTAAACCCCTAATTAAACCCTAGACCCCTCAACCCTCAACCCGAAAACCCCAAACCCCAAGAATCTAAACCTTGATACCGCCCTTATAAACTCCCAGAATACCCACGACACCCCGCACAAAATCGTGCAAAGCAGCCCTTAAACCCGAGCCCAAACCCCAGGGAGCCCAAGAGCCTGACAAGCTTGTGAAACTCTGGAAGCACTTGGGACTTGTCGCAGGTTTCTTCGCACATGGGTAGTTCGCTAAATAAGGGTCCCTCTTAAGGACTCCCTAAAGGGATCTACAAGGTTATAGGGGTGCTATAAGGGTAGTTCGCTAAATAAGGGTCCCTGTTTTAAGGTCCTTTTTATTAGGGTGCCGTACTATCCTGGGGACGTAGCAAGGGACCCTAATTTAGAGAACTACCCATACATGGAGTCGCATGCCTCAACGGGTTTAGGGCCTGAACACAGAACTTCCAACGCCTGGCCCCGAAGAGTATGTTTGCTACATTTGGCAACGTAGTAGCCGGTGCAGCACTCAATGTTACGTAGGATAAAGACTCACTGAGCCCAGCATCTGGCATGGAAACCTTTCCGAACTACAAGACAGTTCGCCATGTAAGGCAAACTGCTCAGCCCACTGAATCTCAATATTACTACCGATTTTAGTATTGAATATTACGGCCAATACTAAAACTGTTGTTCATATGAATGTGAAACTCCCTGAAGTTGCTACATAATAAATAGCAGAGCGTCTTGCAGATGGTTGAAGGATCTTGAGATCGTGCGTGAGGCGAAGAAATGAGTCGCAGGTCACAGAGAGGAGACGCTGCGCGGCTGCTCCGGACCGCTCTGCCTCTTCAACTTCTTCCACCTTCGCCTGGGTATGGGTTCAGGGCTTACTGTGGTTTACTTGTCTTTGCTTGGTTTAGCTTTTTACGGCCTCTTTCCCATACAAGGTGGGGCTGTACCTTCCCTAGACTACCAGAAGCTCAGTTGCCTAAATGGCTAAATAGCCGGTCGCTGTTGGTATCGGTGTAGTATCCCATTTGACACGTAGCTGGGCTTCCAAAAAATCTGAAGGACCCTTTTCAAAACATCACCTATATTTAGGGTTTAGGGTTTAGGGTACGTAGCTCTCAGTTGGATCGCAGTCCAGCTCGCATGTCGATTGAAGCGAAACTTCTCTCTTTCATGGCTCTAGGTTGTCTATCTCGGCTCAGGGGAAGTAAACAGGTATACGTTCACGGTCTCTGTCTAAGTGAGTGTCACATGTTGCCGTGTCGTAATTTCATGCTTATGGTGCTGGTACCGCTGTACATGTACATATATACACACATGTGTGTGTGTGTCTATTAGACACAGAGAGAGAGAGAGAGAGTGTGTGTGTGTGTAATTCTGAAATTGAAAAGCAGTTCTGGCCAGGTGAAGGCCTCATTATGTAGGTTTTAGCATGAGTCGAATTCATGTAGAGACGATAGGTACCAAGACTAGATACCCTCTGAAAACACTAAACCCCTGAAGCCTAGAAGCTATGCTAGTGCAAGAGGCCCGAAGCCCTACTCCCCAAACCCCACACCCTGGACCAGAAACCTAAACTCCTGAACCGGAAGCATCGGACCTACAGCAACTGAAGGGTCCATGCTTTGTGATGGTGGGATTGACTCTCGAAGCTATTGGGTTTTCGAAGGTCCGCACAGTCAGGAACCAAGGAACCAACGGAACAACTCAAGTGCGAAGTCCCAGTGACCTCCAGCTGGATTGCAGCAACCTCGAGCTGGTATTCCTTGCTGTTCCTGGCTAAGGGCCGAAATAAAAACAAACTCACCGAGGATTGAAACTTGATGTCGCTTGTAGTTAAGTTATGTTAGGTCATGTCATGACGGAGGCTACTACGGCGCCAGTGCCGTGGACCCCAAGCGTACGACAGTCCATGTCTGTGGTACAGATCAGTGAAGCCGGAAAGAATCAGAACAAGGTGCTGTGGTACGATGCACATCATATGCACTGCTCCAGCAGGTCTTCAGTGTGGCTTCATTGTGAAACATGATCATCCAGCAAAGGACTAGTGACTAGGACACATCTGAATCTGACCCTTGATTGACAACCAAATAGCATGAAGAAAGGTCTCCAATTCTGTCACGTGTCCCACAACGAATGCGTACTGGTCCACGTATTGTGGGAGTCTAAATAAGTAGAATGGGGTTTTGGGGTATACTATACTATAATGACATTAAAAATTAAGGAACCCCCAAAATAGTGTTGGTAACTATTTAGACCTTTGAGTACATCGCCTAGAAATTCGGGGCCTTCTTGAACACTGCTAGTCCGATGGTCCTTCCGAGTTTCATGAACAAGCCGCAAATGAAGCCATGAGGCCCACGAGAAAAAACAATCTCAAGTGCGGGCAAAACAAGGGAACACGTAGCATTAACTGTTCATCCTTTAGCTGAGCATCAGTGTGGAAATTGCCGCAAAAATGACACCAACCGCGGCCATCTCATTGATAACACGCCACACGAGTTGGTGAATGTAGGCAGTGTTTGTATCCTGGATCATGCTGAGTTGCACGGCAACAAACAGAGGAGCGAGAGCAACATTCATCCAGATCGCCAACGAACTTTCGGTCGTCGATATACAGGTCAGTATGCGGGAGGCATACACGGCCGGCACGGCCTGAGCTGAAACACTTGATCCCAAAGGGTCCTAGGTACCTATATATAGTCGAACGTAGGGTTTTTATAATAGAAATTACTATAATGATGTGGGGAAGTATAACCCTTTGGGGATCAGATTTGCCAGATTGGGGGTACTAGCAGGGCCTTAAGTTGGAACACTGGACGGTACTCCGGCCTCCAGTGGGACTGCGGGAACCATTGCCACATGTGCAAGGCTCATGGCAGCAGTGAAGAACCGCATCCTTGTTTGAGTCAGCTCCACCTCAGCCTTCATGAATTCTCGAAACATCCAGTTGCCCAGACCCAACGTGACGAAGCAGGGAAGCTGTGCCAGCGTCCCAAATGAGAAGTAGTTCATGCCCAGGAACGTCGACAACATGGTCAGTTCTGCTGACAGTGACCACAAGGCCAAAGTCTCCTTTAAATACCTCGGCTTCCCGGCTGCCCTTTGCCAACATGATACACATGCAGGGTAACGGTGCAGTACCCTGTAACTGCAAAGAGAGCTAACCAAGACAGGCGCCCCGCAGCCAAGACCAAGGCAATGAAACTTATGACCCAAAGTGTGAGCTCACCTAGAGAATGAGTGAGCTTTGAAGCACTGTTTTGCGAAACACTTGTCTTGATGGTTAGGATCGGAAGAAAGCAAGGTCACCCGGAAAGGAGCTACAATAGAGCGGCTATAACGCTAAACGGGAAACCCTACACCCATAAATCCTAAACTCGTTTATAAAGCCCTAAACCCCCCAAACTCTCAACTACATAAGCATCGTACCAAGACGCTGCTCCCGCTTACGGCGCAGCTGCTGCATGGTGTTCTCAGATCTCGAATCTTTGAGCTCCGGGCCTTGCCTCGTCTATGCTTGGGTTTAGGGTTTCGGGTTTAGGATTCAGGGTTGAGGGTTCAGGAGTTAGGATTTAAGGGTTTAGGGTTTAGGATTTGGGTTTTAGGGTTCCTTTCTACAAGGCCTCCTCTAAGGGCTACTAATTTAATCTTTAATGGCTCCTTTTAAGGCGCCATGCCAGGGTTCGGGCTTCTTGGCCCCTGAGGGTCCATGTACCCAAATAGAGTAGTTTAGGGTTTAGGGTTTAGGTATATTCTGAGGCCCGGAAGTACCTTTGTGTGGGGAGTACTTTAAGGCCAAAGTGGAAAACTATTTGGGCACATGGGCCCGAAGTGGCTATGCCAGGGTTCGCTTCTGGATAACTAGAGAAGGCTTCCTTTTTATGAGGGTTCCTCCAATTTAGGCTTACTATAACACGTCACACCACAAGTCAAGACAGTCTGGAGTTCTTGCTGCGCTGTCTTCAAGCTTGTCGACAGGGGATGTGCTCAAAGCGGCTTGCGAATGAGCAAGAACCGATGCCACCAGGCTCACCCCAGGGCTCCAGTTACCTAAATAGTGGGTTACTAACCATATTATGTACCCCAGTAACCTAATATTTAGGTAACCGGAGCCCTAGGGTCAGGTCAGTCAAGGGTACGAGTCAGGATGCCGCTGCCGAACAAGCCCCACGGTTTAGTCAACTGCGCGAGTCAAAAGATATGTTGACCCCGGCTCGACCGTTGGTGAGGTGAGGCCCGCGGCTTTTAGGGGGTTTGGTATAGGGTCTTCTTCAATCATTAGAGCAGGTTTTGGGGATATTCTTTTGCTATATAAATGTGTGAGGAACGATCAGGGAATACTGTTAAATTATCATTCCGACTCCTAGACTAGGGCCAAGGCTTGAACTGAATACCCAAACTTCACTCGCCAAAAAAACATCCACTAAGTGCCAAGCTAGACATGTCGACTACGAAGAGTTACGGGGCTTGATGAATAAAGGGTTTTGGCTTTTGGGGTGTGGGTTCAGAGCTTTGGGATTTCTGTTGCGAGTCCATCGACGATCTGGTGGAGACATGGTCCTCATAGAGACCCCTAAACCCTCAGGAATTGATCCCAACTCCTTAACCACAAACCCCTAAACCCAAAACATGTCCCTTAAACCCTTTGGGTGGAAGCCATGAAGGTTTCCACGAAGCGACACGCAGGTCTGAAGCGATTTTAGACTGACATGCAAAACTGAAACTTTCAGACGTCGAAGATAGCTCTACCCACTCGCGAAATCTCCGACCTCCACAGCAGCCGGGTGATCAGCGACAGTGTTGTAATTGTGATGGTTACCACGCCAACCACTGTTGCAATTGCAGGTATTGTAGACTTCGAAACAGTCTGCTTGCCATGACACTTACTTGGTTTCGCAGATGTAGCTATGCGGACCATGGTCGCATGACCCTTGAAGCCCCAACCCCTAAACAAAGAACTTGAAACCCCAAACCCTAAACCCCTCGAAACTCTGCAGGCCGGCTGCCAGCCCTGCAAGGTGCGCATGGCATTCGAGACTTGCGCCCAACTTCCGGGCTGCCAGAGTCTTGTGGTGACAAAATACCTAGGATCTAGGCTTCGGGTTCCTTAAAAAAAGGATCTACAAAAAATCAGAAAGGGATATCGGATTGAGGGTTCAGGGGCTTTGGGTTTCGGGCTTAACCTAGGACTTAGGTGTTAGGGGATCTGGGTTTAGAGCTATGGGATTTAAGATACCTAGGATTTAGGGTCCCAGGAATTCGAGATCTTGTACAAGCCAATAGCCGGCGAACTTCGATCCGAGATCCTCTCAACCGGAGTGAGGGTCCACTTGGAGGTTCATGGGTAGTTATAAATGGGGTTATAAGTAGGGTAACTATACATATTAGGTGCCTTATAACCCCACTTATAACTACCCATGAACCTCCAAGCAGGGGCCTTTTCCGTATCCGAGTTCAAGACGGGAGGATTATGTTCGCTCAGAGACAGGAAGACGGGGTCCATCGTTACCAGCTGCTAGGCTTAAGGATTCTCCAACAGACTATAGGCTTTGTATACTTGGGCTCTTCCAACAAAGACGCGAAGGGAAAATCATGCTCGATTGCATCCCAGGCACGCTAGGGGAAGGAAGCACGAGGTTACCACCAGAATCTCGAGCATGGTCTGCTTTGCAGAGCACGCGCCAGCGCAAAGTGGAAAGAACAATTGCGTGGCCCTTGTCACACGTTACTTGGCGGTTCACTAGAAAAGTGTCTAGAGTCTGGTGTAAGCTGTGTCTAGACTCTGGTGTAAACTCTGCTGCGCAGCTCTCGCTAGTAATTGTCAGGATGGTGCATGTCAACTAACAATCGGACAAGAGTGCAGACTGTATGAGATGTCATGATGTCATTCTGGGCACTGCCTCGAGCCAGAAATACGTGCCGTTTTTCGTGCAACGACAAACCACAAAGCACAATCCAAGCGGCAAAGGCAACGCCAAAGGCAAAGGCTTAGCTAGCAAGAAGACGAGATTTGCACATATCTCTACGTTGTATGGTTCACAGCGGCAGTAGAGGAAACACACTTTCCGCATATTTGGTCTAGGCATCCTGTTACCTTGCCCCACCCGTATGCAAGGACACCACTTGCCATAAGGGTACTGGCCACTGCGAAAAGCCAACACAGCAGCTATAACCTCCATTTCCTGCGTAGTAGGTCACTGTCCCAAGCAGCCTAGTTTGGGGCAACTAGGCCTCTCTACAACTATACTGCTTGCAAAAGTCTTGGCCTCCTGTCCAAGGCGCTGTCGTCTTCCGAACTGTGGAGGTCTGACGATCGATCGTCAAGGGCGTGTAGCCAGTCATCAAGAAGTGGCACTTCCTGGGTTCTTGTCAACGAACTTGGTTCGATGTAAAATCACCAGCGAGTCGTGTTTATTTTGTCAAAGTAGATCCACAAACAATAATAGAGTACCACGGGATGCGGCTAAAAAGCTTTTTCCCATCTTTGGATGAGGGGATTCCGAGACACGCCCAAGTACTGGGATGTAAAATGGACCTGGCTTCCACGGCCACACTGACCCTCTGTGGATAATAAGACGGAAGCGGAACTATGCTCCGCACCAGAGCGGGAGCCATCCGCGGAAAATCTCCCGGCCGGCCTGGCTTACGCACCAATCCAACCAATTCCTGGTAGCCTAAGGTAAGAATCAGACGTAGCGTGTGTACCACAATGCATGGGGAATTAGGTAGTATACACCCCCCATGATGGCAACTCAAACTCAGCCCCAGACCCAAACCTGTAAGCTCCTTAACAAGGACCCAGCTTCGGAGTAGGGATGAGCGAGGCCAGCATGCCAATCCTTGCAAGCGGATTCTGGCCCACGGAAACTGACCCGAAGCAAAACCAGAAAACTGCACTGATGTTGTTTAGTGTGCAGAGTATGACTCATGATTTGCAACAAACTCTTTCGAACAAGACCAACGTGGAGCTGCCTTTGCAAGAAACCTTTTGCGATGGCATACGGGTTTCTAGAAAACACATGCGTCATAGCCTAGTTCCAAGTATGGAGCATCGTGAACAGAGATGGCTAGAGCAGAGGGGAACTACGGACAATTCGGCAATGGAATGTCCCAATTGACACTCCGCCGAGAGCACCTTGCCAAATCTTCTTAATAAACCCCAATGGCACAAAAGAGTGCGTCTAACCAATAAACTCTACCCTACATCCTAAACCTCATAGAAGCCCTAAGCCTAAACCGCAATCCCCTAAACCCTGAGCCAAAACCCTCAACCGAGAATCAAATCGTTGTTCATGTACCCTGGGTACCGCAGCGTCGTGGTGCTGGCAGCCATAACCTGCTGGCTATGGGTTCATGGGCATAAGGTTTAGGGCATAGGATTTCATACGCTAGCAAAGGCGTCTCTGTGCGGTTTAGGCTTTAGGATTTACGGGTTTACCAGGATGCCAAGCGGAGTCTCATCGGCAAAAATAGCCGGGGTGTGAAGACTATACCTGCTTCAGGGTTTCCGATTGAGGGGGACGCCGCGGCTGGGCAACAATGCTCTCATGACTCCTATGCTGTGACAGCTTTCGCAACGGTTATACAGCTCCCAACCCACCTGAACAACCAGGCATCCTTAGCCCCCCAACCCCAAACCCTCAAACCTCAGCCTGAAAACGTACCGCAACGCTTAACACAACGAGACAGCAGTTCTGGTGTGCATGATACAAGAAAGTATACGGGGACGATTAGGCTTCAGACCCCCATATATGAAATGCATGTATGTGTGTATGCAGATGCATGTATGTATGCATGTTTGTATGTGGTGTGTATACATATATATGCACAAACAAATGCACACACACATATACATATATATCTATATATATACACATATATATATGTATACATATATAAATATATATACAAATATGTATACACATGTATTAATTTATTTGTTGAAACTATATACATATACATATACATATACATATACATATACATATACATGTACATGTACATGTACATGTACATGTACATGTACACATACATACATACATACATACATAAAATACATACATGCATACATACATACATACATGCATGCATGCATGCATACATACATGTATATATATATATACACATATATATGCTCAGTTATACGTATACACATTTATGTACACACATACATATACATATCCAGATACATATACGCACACATACATATAGATAGACGTATATACACGCATCCCTCCATCTTATCCAAGCCGCGGTGGAGACGAGGGAGTTGATCTGTGCGAACCTGGGGGCTTGGGTTATAGAGCTAGAATGTATACCACCAGAGTTCCTAGAAGAGTTGCTTAGGAAGGTGTACTAGTTTGGGTTTAGGGTTTAGGGTTCCGGGTACTATGAAGCGTGTTACCATGAGGGCCTGAGGGCCGTGGGTTAGGCGTCTGGGGGTTTAAGCCGTCTAAGCGTTAAGGGCTCAGGGTCCCGGGGTTTAGGGTACCCACTGTTGAGGGCTCTGGGTTTGTAGGGCGTAGGAGTCGAGGTATGAAAGGACGACTTTATGAAAGGGAGGAGGATTAATTGTTACAGATTTGAGGACGTAAGTACTTAGGGCGTATAGTGAACTGTATATCCGCATCCCGTTTTGGCAAAGGCAGCTCTCTCTAGGGCTGAACTGGATGAAGGCCGAAGAGGTATTGGGTTTCGGCTCAAGCCTGTCTTTAGGGACTCCACCCCCGACTGTGAGTTACGAAATCCTGGACATTGAGCTGGATATTCTAAAACTCAAGACCAACCCAAAGTGCAACAAATCTCGCTTAGCTACTCTGGCTACAGGGACTCTGTCTCTGTGTGTGTGTGTCTGTGTGTATGTAAGTATGTATGCATGTATGTATGTATGTATGTATGAAGAGTGAGTTATAAATAGATAAATAAATGAATACATAGCTAAATACATGGATAGATAGGCAGTATATATATATATATATGTATGTATGTATGTGTGTGTATATATATATACACGTATAGAAAGCCGACAGATGAAGGTCGTCCCCCCGCTGCTAAACTATGTGAGACGTAGAGGTTTGCTGATTTAGTAGCTTTACCTAAGCGGGTGGCATGGGTGAACTCACACCAGGAACAACACAAGTAGACAGAAGGAGACGGGCAAGCTGACCCGTGCGGCGAGTCAAATTGCAAAAGCCTACTTCCTACCCCCAAAACTCCATTAAGCAAAACCCTGAGCTGCCAGCGTAGGATTGGTCAGCTTCAGCCGATCCTTTGCAGTTCGATTCACTACAAGCCTGGAGGAGCTGAACATCCGAGAACTTTCCTTGACTACCAGTAGTACTACTACTCCTACTCCGATGATGGCGACGGTGAAGATGATGGTGTTGATGCTGACGATAATGGTGATGACGATGGTGGCGGTGGTGGTGGCGGTGCTGCTGCTGATGATGATGACGATGACCGCAGAGAGAATCTTGAGGATAAAAAGGATGTGCTCTTGCTACTGCTACTACCACTACAACCACCAGCATATTCATTCCAGAAATGCTCTTTTTGCCTAGCTAAGGTTATGATGTTGGGCTGTGACGGTATCTTCTTCAGTCTCAGTCTCACAGGCGCGGCCGACAAATCACACAAACATAAGTCCAGGCCAAAGGATCCATCGCGATGCGATTCAAAGCAGTGTTGTCCAGCACAACAACGCAATCGGCGTTCAGAGCTAGCCTCTCGGGTTGGCGATTCCATTCCTAGTGTGTAGGGTATAGGTTTTCAAGAGTTGCGGTTTAACCCGGAATCAGGCTTGACAGCGCCTTATGATGTATAGGTACAGAAAGACATCCTATCTATCTGCCTATCTATGTATATGTCCAACTGTTGATGTACCTATCAGTCTATCTGTTTATAAATCAATCTACCTATCTATCAATGTACCTATCTATCTATCTATCTATCTACCTATCTACCTATCTATCAGTATCTATAAATAAATATATATATATATATGTGTGTATATATATACATATATATATGTATGTATGTATGTATGTATGTATGTATGTATATATATATATATCCGAGACATGTTTGCTGAACGTGTCTGCTTAACATGTGTTGTTCGTGTCAACCCCCTCCCCAGCTAGAGTATGCACACGCTTCTTGAATACGTGAGCCCTGCGGCCGGGCTTCTCAGCTGATGGTTTAGGGCTTCTACCATAACCCATTCGACACATCAGATTAACATTAACACTTCTAGCATTTCTTTGAGGCCATATACCCCAAACCCTAAACCCTCAACCCAATGGCCGTAAAACAAGCAGCCTTCGACCCTAAACCCTTATAATCAATAGCAAGACTGGAAGAAGGATTCCGATGGAAGGGACAGTCTTCAGGGGGTGAACCTTGAAGAGTTCATCTTATCTCGGGCCTGTGGGTGTAAGTGCCGCCTCAACAAGTAGAACCGGTTTGGGAGTATATTAATTATAGGGTTTAGTGTTATAGTGTGTGTGTATATATATATGTATAGATAGTCGGGGACTGTAAGGACAATGCCAGAATCAGAGCTCCACAATTGTGGAAGTCCGGAGTTCCTAGCCTGCAAGGTCTGAAGAGTTCAGACCCTGGGAATCTGGCAAGCACGAGCTTGCAACAACCAGGAGCTAGAAAGGAAGACTATCTCAGGAATACAAAAGACTGTCACACACACATATATGTATATATTATTATTGTTATTATTATTATTATACATTATATGTCATATATATATATATATGTATGTATGTACGTACGTACGTACGTACGTATGTATGTATGCATGTGTATATGTATGCATATACTTGTATGCACAATGCATACATGTGTGATGTCAAGCCTAGACGTGTGAGCTCCGAGCCGCTGTCTGCAAAGCTGACTAAGCTGACAGCTTAGGTCTAGAGATCCAGAGTTTTTGGAGGAAGTTACAGGTGGGGAGTTTGGGGTATATAGGGCTTCTATAAGGCTTCTATAAGGTATATAGACCTTCTATAAGGCTCCTATAACAGTAACTGCCCACCGGAAAATGTCCTAGAACAGCCTTCAACACAACAAAACCGTCCACCCGAGACTTCTAGGTGGACCAAGTGGCGCTCCAATTTTGTGGGCTTCTGGGGGTTGTCGGCTGCCGAAGCTTGAAGGCATTTGAGAAGCAAAGGGCTTAAGCATAGTTTATAGCCCGGGATTTGTGAAGTTTGGGCTTGAACACTAGGCTTACTGTTTCGGGCTCAGAGGTTCAGTGGTGCAGGGTTTGAGGTCAGAAATGACAGGTTTGGGATCGAGCTCCTGCCTCTTCAGTGTCAGCACCTTGGATG